CCTTGCGACGTCTGGTTCAACGATATTTCCACCAAGAATAGCAGAGACCGATCCGATCGCGAGCGACCCAAGAACGACACGTGAAAGCACTTTTAAGGTGGAGGTGGGCAGCATTATCAGAAGTAATGTAAGCTGTAGGGAATGAATTTAGGAATGAGATGAATACAATGCTGCAGCTAATTTTTCGTGAGCTGAGTCATGCACACAATTTGTACTATCCATTCCTGGAGACATGAAGACAAAATTGGCAGATGATAAAACGATAGGAAGTCTATTCTCTGCAAATCGACAATGTTATCGTGTATGAACATGCGGAAGAGCTGAAAGTCCTTGCGTACCGCTAATCAAATCGCTCTTGCGTTCACAGCCCGTCTCATCTGTAGACAGTCCACTTCCTAGGCCATAATCTTCTTGATACCAACCCATCCAGTAAGGGATAGGTCTTATCGTATTAGAATTTAAACGCTCAATAATGAAACTGGAACGGCATTTGACTATCGTGGGTGCGTCGAAGTTTTCTCTTAAACCACACATGACCGTGAAACTTATATCACATAAAGTGCACTCATTGAAATATAATCTGCCGAGGAGAGGTACATTTCTATTTCTTAGAGAATGAGTTTGATTTTGTGCTGATGACTTAATATCAAGACTTTGGCGGAGCTGTGTTTTTTCTTCCTTTTAGTTAGCTCTCGAGTACATAATTAGATTGTAACCATCTTAAATAACTTGTCAGCCCGCAAAAGCCTAAAATTTCGTTAATGGGTCCGGATGATAGTCAAACAGCTTTATGATGAAGTTTTTTTTAGCTCTTTCTCTGTTACATCTGTCACAATTCAAAAAGTAACCTGATTACTGAGAAGAAGTAGAGTCCTGCACAAAATATAGGCAGCTGCCACATTGAGTATGCAAGCTTCGAACTTGCGCAATAGATGCTACATGTGGGGTTGTGACGTAAACATTTGAATCTTAAAAATGATCTTTAATTATTGATCGAGAGGATGTCGTACCACTCTGATATTCTAGAACTCAAAAGTAACATTCAAAAATTGAGAGTTTATTCATACATCATATAATACATATTGTGATTTGCTCTTTGCGGTTGGTTTGCATGCGAAGAACTAGGTGCTCTTTATCGGTGCATCACGCGTTACACGCGGACTCTACTTAACCATCCTAACGCTGGATGGAAACTGCAAGTATACTCCCGTGCAACTGAAGATTCGCAAAGCATAACAGTAGGCCACATTATTGGTGGACTTGAAAACTCACTGAAAAGGACACTGATGAGAATGTAGCAAAAATGGAAGTGAAATTATCCGGCTTAGATGAACGCAACTGCTCTAGTAGCCTCGCCTACATCATTCTAGAAATATGACTCGAGCTTGTGCGAGATTCCGCGAGTTGCTGACTTCAATAGACACCCAAGGGACAGTGTAGCCGTCCAGATGGCAGTTGTACCGACTATCATTACAGGTCGAAATCGCTAAGTCATCACAAACTCCACTGAGCCTAACGATCCCTGTGATCTGGGGAGTGTATAGTAACTTGCTCATGTCGGCGAGCTGGTCACTCGCTGGCACATACTAAACTTGGAGAACACCGTCACGCACAGCATCTCGAACAAACTGGTATCGCAGATCAATATATGTCGCGCGAGATGGACAATGCCATAGCGATGGCTGCCTGGTTATCGACGTGCATAGCAGTAGGAGAGAGATACTTCTTGAAGGAGGTGTCGGACCACAGTAATTCTTGAGCAGCCAATATTAGAGCTATATACTCAGCCTCTGCTGAGAAGAGAGCAACAGTACGTTTGTCGCGCCACCAAGTTGACTCCCGCGTCTCCACATCATCCCGCTGATTCGCGTTAGTATAGAGTATCGGGCCAAACACCGTCTCATCATCTCGGATATACATGCCCTTAGCCAAAATGTGTCCATCAAGTAGCGTAGTACGTTAACAGCAGCTTTTATGTGCGCTTCGCATGGACCTTCAAGGTATTGAGACAGCTCACACGCGGAGACGGAAATGTCTAAACGCGTACCGCTTGCGAAGTAGAATAAGCATCCGTCGGTTCACGATACCGTCGGCCATCCACGCGTTGGGTTACTTTGAATTCCGACAGCTTCTCGACAACACATGGGGGTTTTGGCGTGATTGGGTAGACTTCTTGCCGAACTTACTCGTCTCGGATGTAATTAATCTAGACGCCAAGTAAAAATCGCGCTTTACCTAAGTCTTTAAGCTTCAAAATTGGGAAAAGCCCAACTTGATCTCATTCGCCGGATCATTCATTATACACACACCCAATCAAAGATTATTTACATATTGGATGAGATACACAAGATGCATACCTCACTCGTGAACAAAGTACACGGATCAGATACACAAGCCACAGAACCCATCGACGTGAGCTCCTCAACAATTATTTTGTGCCACACTGCTGCTGCTTGCTTGAGGCCCATAAATGCTCTGACGTGACCTGGCCACCATACCGTCTGGCAACTTTGTCTCTTCAGGTGAGTTGATAAACACGCCTTCATTCAGCACGCCGCTCAGGAAAGCCGTCTCGACATCCAACAGACGGATCACGTGGTTCTGCTGGCAAAACAGAGCCAGGTACTCCTAACCTAGTTGAGACTCGCAACTGCGAGTAGGTTTTCAGATAGTCAACTCCATACACCTGTCGAAAGTCTTGGGCCACCAAGCGCGCTTTCAATCGCGCAATAATAACGTCCGCGTCGCGTTTTACATTGAATATCCATTTGCATCCGATAACTTTGACACCGTTAGGGTGACGTATAGAACCCAGGTGTATTTCGAATCGTGGGAACAAAGTTCGCGACACACCGTCTCCTTCCAATCTGACGCTTGTGATGACGCCATGGTGTTTTAAAACATTCGATGAATTCTCACCACAGCGAGAGCAATCTCATTTTCGTCCATCTGTCGCAGTAGTTTGGATTTTGGCTTCAAAATTTATACTAATTATTCACATCACTCACGGAAGGTTGCCATTCAACGATGCAATCTTTAGCAAAAGATGGCAATCAACCAGATACACGAGAGATCAACCGTGGGTATTGGCTATCAAACACAATACGGTTCACTCCCACTTGGCAATTTTTGAAAGATCACGCGCTATTTTTATCAGCAAGCGGTGCTGGTTGTAGAACGAGGAATGTGACCATCATATCTTAAGCCACATTAGCGACAAATTCACATAATTCTTCAGATGAAACAATTGAAGAAGAGACTTTGATTGGTGGAGTCCGCCGTCGTTCTTCGACCATTCGCATCCACCGTTAGTTTCTTTGAGTATGGCGCTGGAACATCGTCGTACTCATCGAAGACAAATCGCTTGAGCTCATCTCAAGTCATCACCCTAACGTGATCGAGAAGGACGTTCATTCGGAGCTATAGTGCAAGGCACAACCACGAGTTCCGCTTCATAATCCTACACACGTTAGACGTTTGAACCATCAGCATGCCTCGCAAAGTCGCAGAGGCGAACTGTTGCATCAAGCTATCGACGCTAAGAGAAGTCAACATGCACGTACCCATTTGATCCAAAGACGTGCTTGTGCCGACAAATGGTTTGTTCCCAATTAGCATATCATGCGGTGTTTTGGTTAGGTATTTGGCAACCTGTGTACGCAGCTGTCACAATGGCTTCGCCCCACCACATCTTCGGTCGATGTTGGTAGTAACTGATCGGTTCGTCCGCTTTGCCATCTCGTTATGCGGGTAAGGTATAGGGAGCACTGACCTGACGCACATTTCCATGAGTCAAGAAGAAGTTACTGAGCTTCTTGTCGCGACATTCATCACCATTGTCAAACCGAATGCATCGGATCCGGGCCACCATTTGACCTTTAATGAGAGACATATACGTCTTGAAGCAAGCCAGGACTTCATTCTGGCCGTCAGTAAATACACTTGGACATAGCGAGTCCAGACATCAGCAAACACCAAGATGTATCAAGCGCCACATCGAGACTAAACCTCCATGGGTCCTATCACATTATTGTGGAAAATTTTTAAATGAGGCCAGAGTTTTTATCAGTCTGTTGAAGGTCCGCAAAAATTTCGCCACAGTCACCACATGCACAACCCTCGCACGGTATTTGATGAGTCCAGCTTGACCTCGAGCTTGGTAATAGCGCTCGCAATAATAGTCACTGACAGAATCCGATCATGACCTGCATGACCCAGGCGAGCATGCCAAAGGTTGGTTATTACAGTGGATACACCGAATTTGCACCAGCGTTTCTCTAATGGCATACTGTAGCCAGCTTCTGCGCATAAAACTTGTTTACGCTGACTCCACTCGCAATATCTTTCCCTTGAATGCAACCGAGCACTTGCCAAGTTCAAAGTAGACCTTAGCTTACTTTGCCGCCAATGCAAAAACCAACAGTAATGTACGATCGAAGTGGTGATATTCAATATATCTGAGATCGCTGCTGATCGTCCAGTTTTCAAAGTCAAGTGCACGAAGTCGACCATTTTCACCGAGAGCCAATTATTACTAGCCACCAACACATCGATCTTGCCAGCAATAAAGCAAAATCCGTCGATTCATATCGATCAAAGGTCATGTGCGAACTCGCTCCACTGTTCAAGACCCACATCTTCTCGGAATCCTCACCACCAGATACCGAAAACGCATAGCCATCCGTCATACTCTTCTTTCTTGGACACTAGTCACGCTTGTGACCGGCCTCATTGCACTCAAAGCAAAACAAACAGGCGAGCGAGGAGCCACCCTGACGAGGTCATCCCGTCCATTATTACGACCTTGACACTACGGCTGTAACGGGGTTTCACGTGCTTCGGTATGAATGATGTGGTTTACACAAGATGATGTGATCATACAATCGTGTGGCTATACCATTACAAGAAGTCAGTACTTGGCGGGACTGCCAGTAGTTACGCATTTTTATCAGGTTTGCTATCTAATTATGAAAACGTATAGAATTATATATAGGCGGCTTTACCGCAACTGAAACCAAGAAATATAGTTTACATTTTCACGGAATAGCTAACTAGCTTTGGGTAAAGGTTGTAGTTACTCTTGATGTAAGTGGATTGCGATCTGCTACACTCGTACTGGTTCTAAGTATAGAACGAAGATCACCGATCTTAACCAAGCTTCCTCAAAGCGAAAGAGCTACGGCAGCCCCGGTGCAAAAAAGAACACTGATGAGAATGTCGCAATAATGGAAATGAGATTACCAAGCTCAGATAAATACATAAATCACCAATACCTCTAGTAGCCATGGAGCACTCCCTAGCACCTAGCCACCATTACTATAGAACATGACTAAAGCTTATGCGAGACTCCGCTGGTTGCTGACCGACACTTTCCTGTCAATAGACAACCAAGACACTATTCGGCTGTCCAGATGGCTGTTGAGCCCACTATCCTTGCAGCACCGATCCATTTAATGCTTTGAATTATTCAGAGTGCAAATCCATGTTGAGCTCTAGGAGTGGGAGAATAAAGTAGAAATAAATGCGACCTTGTATGACCCGCATCTTAGTGACAAGAGAAATACTTACAACATCGACCTCCATTGTTTGTGAGCCGGCGTGAGAGGAAAAGAGTACCACTTTCGGTGATCCCGAAGGTCCTTTATCTTTAAGAACGAAAAGCCCAATATGATGATTTGAAGGTTGCTGTACTGATTGACGCTTCCATCAATTGTTTAAGCGGCAATTTGCGTGTGTGTCCGCTGTTCGCGATCAAGACGTCTTTCAAATCACTAATTATTAGGCTATCCACGTCAAGAATGTTTCGTCGTGATAGTTTTCGCTCTGCTACGATTGTTCAAAATTAATCTTTAGATCGGAATTCTAAGCATAGAAATCATGTTATGATGGATGCGTGAAAAGTAAATCAAATGTACCAAGCGCAGCGTCGTAATCAGTATGCTGTCTTAATGCTCGTTGATATTATGAAGCAACTACGATCTTCAGTAGCTTCACTTGAGTCTCCCAACAAAGCTCAGCAGCTTTTGTTATCCGTGTATACAATAATGTCTTGGGCTAAGGTTTTCCCTTGACATAATTCTAATCTTTGATTACTTATCGCAACGAATTCGTTTGAAAAAGCAAGCGTCTACTGCGTTGTCATCACGAGCTTTCCTGGCCCTACTTTCTACAGATGAGACAACTGTGAACGTAAGAGCGATAATGTCACCCCTGAGCAAGTACACATCAGCCACACATTTGCGTACCGCAAAATCATGCACGATAACATTGTCGATTTGCAGAGGATAGACGTCCTATCTTTTTATCAACTAACATTTCAGTCTACATGTCTCCAGGAATGGATAGTACAAGTTGTGTGCACAACTCAGCTCAAGAAGAATTTATCTGCGGCACGATACGCATTTCCAGATTCACGCCCTACTGCTCACATCACCTACGAATAATGCTGTCCACCTTCAACTTAAAGGTGCTTTCAAGTGTCGCTCTTGGGTCGCTCGCGATCGGATCGGTCTCTGCCATACTTGGTGGAAATATCGTTGAACCAGACGTCGCAAGTTTCATGACCAATTTTCGTCACGAGAAAGACAGCAACGCTTTATGTGGTGGAGTTTTAATTGCTCCAATGTGCGTCCTCACGACAAGGTCATGTATGGATCAGCATCCTTTGTATGCGGCAGTTGGAACGCGTTTTTCTAACGGCTCAACAGATGTCGAAGCGCTGAAGATTAAGAGTAATGACACTCATCCGGACTACAATAGTCTTGATCGCTCTTACGACTTTGCCATCGT